CGGCAGGAGGGTTGGACTAGATGACCCCCAGAGGTCCCTTCCAACCCCTACTATTCTGTGGTTCTGTGATTCTGTGATTCTGTAAGGTTAATCCCCACGAGGTGTTGAAACGCCAGCCAGAGCGGTGTCGCTCCGCGGGGAGCGGTTTGTGATCGGCTCCAGTGTTAAGGCTCCGCTGTCGGCGTGGAGATGCCAGAAAGCGGGATCCGAACGAGGACCGGTTTTCGCGGAGAAGCCCGCGAGGCTCAGTCCTTCATCGTGGTGCTCGCTGAGTCTGCAGCCCCCCTCGGCTGTATTTCGCAGCTCTGCCTGGGGCACGGCGGGGACCGGAGCTCGCCTGAGCCCTGCTGGGTCTGGAAGCGCCGCTTTTAATTATTCAAGCTTTAGTTATTTAGCCCGTGCCCTGTGAATTGTCCTTATTGCACCTGCTTCTCCCCACTCCACTCCAGCATCACCGTCCTCCATTCCCCATCACCGTCCTCAATTCCCCACCACCGTCCTCCGTTCCCCATCCACGACGTCAGGTAGGTAATTACAGTGCAATTACTGACCTCTAAAGGATTTAACCCATGGGACGTCGGGTCTCAGCAGCATGCGGGACAGGACCTTTTTTCCAACACCGTTTGCCTTTAGGCACGCAGTTTTCTTGTCTCCCTTTCCCTCCGTTTGCCTAAGGCACGTTCGTTGTCAGCGGGGAGCTCATAAGTTATCCTGACGGTGAGCAGAGTCGCTCTGAACGAGGCACGAAGCACCATATGTTTTTTACATGTATCTCTCTGCAGAGTCACTTAATCACGAGTATATAAAACAGAGGAGATAGACTGGGGACAGCTGTACTCCCTGACTCGTGGTGTGTCAGAAGAGGGATGGGGATGAGAACTGATAGAAGGAAAAAGATCTGGTTTAGGGTTTTTTTTCCTTCCTATAACATAGCTAAACTTCAGAAATAAAGAAGCCAAGAAAGAAGAAAGCTTTGCAAAGGGACTGGCTGTTGGTGTATCCAGAATTGTTATAATTAATACAGAATCACAGAATCCCAGAATGGCAGGGGTTGGAAGGGCCCTCTGTGGGTCATCCAGTCCAACCCCCCTGCTGAAGCAGGGTCACCCAGAGCAGGCTACACAGGTCCTTGTCCAAGTGGGTCTTGAATATCTCCAGAGAAGGAGACTCCACAGCCCCTCTGGGCAACCTGTGCCAGTGCTCCGTCACCCTCAGAGGGAAGAAGTTCTTCCTCATGTTCAGCTGGTACTTCCTATGCTTCAGTTTAGGAAGATTATACAGATTTGCAGTGGACATGGGGCCAGCGACTTCTTTTCATCCAATTAAGTGACGAGCAAGTGCTAACGGCAGCGCTCCACACTCTGCCTGGTGTTTTTGCCGAAGGATCGATATTCATCCAGACTACACAGGACTGTTGGTTTACATCTATGCCGGCGAGTTAATGGCATTTCAGCGCTGGTCCCAGGACAAAAACCTGGGTGACGCTTGGGAGCTGGAGATGCCCAAGGAGCTGTTGTGGTCGGTGGTTTGGCCACAGCCGTGTCCACCGAAGGATGCGACGGCTGGGTGCGGCTGGGTTCGTACCCGGGAATATTCCTCGGTGTGTTTAATTTTTACTGGTGGAGATGCGGCCTCGGTTCGCTCTCCGGAAAATCCAGTCTTGGGGCCTCGAAGAAGACCCCAATCTTTTGGCTCCTGGGCTCCGTTTTGGGTGGATAAACGGGGACCGCTGGCTGCAGCATGGCACGGAAATCTCAACCTTTCCCTTTTAGCAGCACCGCACCAGTTAGAAACTGGGGAAGGACAGTGGTGTCCCCCAGGGGTCAGTACTCTGCCCAGTCTTGTTCAACTTCTTCATCAATGACCTGGATGAAGAGTTCAAGTGTACACTCAGCAAGTTTGCTGCTGGCACGGAACTGGGAGGAGTGGTGGATACCCCGGCAGGCTGTGCTGCCATCCAGCGAGACCTGGACAGGCTGAAGAGTTGGGCAGAGAGGAACCTGATGAGGTTCAACAAGAGCAAGGGCACGGTCCTGCACCTGGGGAGGAACAACCCCAGGCACCAGTACAGGCTGGGGCTGACCTGCTGGAGAGCAGCTCTGCGGAGAGGGACCTTGGTGTGCTGGGGGACGACAGGTTGACCATGAGCCAGCAGTGTGCCCTTGTTGCCAGGAAGGCCAATGGGATCCTGGGGTGCATTAGGAGGAGTGTGGCCAGCAGGTCGAGGGAGGTTCTCCTGCCCCTTTGCTCTGCCCTAGTGAGGCCCCATCTGGAGTCCTGTGTCCAGTTCTGGGCTCCCCAGTTCAAGAAAGATGAGGAGCTACTGGAGAGAGTCCAGCGGAGGGCTACAAGGATGATGAGGGGACTGGAACATCTCCCCTACGAGGAGAGGCTGAGGGAACTGGGCTTGTTCAGCCTGAAGAAGAGAAGGCTG